AGAAAACTGTCATCATCATATCAAGGGACTGCTGCTGATGAGCACTGGTACCAATATTATCTCTAGTAACAGCTCCAGGTGTTTGTCCAAATATATGACATTCATATAATTGTTTTCAAAGTTAACTTCTAGCCAGGTAGCTCCAATTCAAGCACCAAGTTCTCATGCAGAGCTGATTTTTCTGTAAACTGCCAGGCTATGTGATAAATCAATTTAACATTTTTCCCTTGACTGTACTGCCTGCATTTTCCCATTACACCATCTCTTCCTGTGTACCTTAAATATTCTGATCCCCTAAACAATTTCAAACCACTGCTATTTTAAGGTAATTTTAAAGAGAAATGTCTTCCTTTCCACATCCCCCCCCCCATTGCAAGTGGTTTTCCTGGTCTTGGAAAGGGTTTTAAGAATTTATCAAAAACATTTCTAAGCTCCTGTAGTATGCTCTGTAAAAGAGTGTGTGCCCCTACACATGCAATTAATGTGACTGAATATGCTCCAGTGCAGTTTGTGCTGGAGTAAACTAATTCAAATGTCTCTGTATACATGTGCATTTGAGCACAGTTATTTACTGTGCTGTCAGATAGCACTTGTGTCTGACAGGACTACCTGACAGTGCAGTAAATTAGACTACACCAGCCTAGTTGCAGTGCATGCAAATTAGTCTACTTTGCAGTAAAGCACATGTATTAACACACCCAGTATGTGGCAGTATCGGACAAAGGATTTTATCAACAAGTATTTGCCATTACCTGAATAATTTATTTATAGCTTTATCAGCTGCACAATTATTTCTGTTGTATGAAGATCATACTGATCAAATTAAATCACATTACCTTATCATATATTCTGTGCGCTACACTTTACATATGCTTATGAAGTTAGTGGGTAGGGGAATGTGTGCTCTGGAATATACTTTCCACTGTCTTCTATCTCATAGATTACCTGTAAAATTCAAGTACTTCATGGATGGGAGTGAAACTTAAGTTCATACACTTTTCTGTTTTCTATACAACATGGACTACAAAACTTGAGTGAGATCTTGTGAGCTTTTCTGAGCTGTGGAGTGGGATAAAGCTATGAAAGAGGCAGAGAAATACATGCTTTTCTGCTGCTTTTTCTTCTAGTTTTGAGGGTAAGGTAGCAATAATTCTCTTTCCTATTGTTGTTGTTTGTTATATTACAGAGTACATTTCTGAAGAGCTGGATAAAAAAAAAATCACCTGTTTTTAATGCAGAGTGCCTTTCACTAGATGTAATGTAAAGAGCTGTTGTCTTTGCTAAGCTGTCAACTGTCATGTATATAGTTCTTGATTATTTTAACAGCAGGGTCTAGAGGTTCCAACAGAGATTAGGCCCTTGTAGTGCTAGGTTAGTGGTCACCAACCAGTTGATCTTGATTGACTGATTGATCATAGAGCCTTTGACAGTCAATCTCAGTCTGTCAAAGGCTCCACAATCGGGAGTGGCAGGATGCAAGTGGCTGGGTTGAGCCACACCCACTGCCACCTGGGCTGGGCTGGGTGAGTGGGGTCAGAGACTGGGAGGCGAGGGAGGGTGGAGCCAGGGGTGGGGCTGGGCAGGGGGCAGGGCTGGGTTTAGGTAGGTGAGCCAGGGGGGTGTGGTAGATCCTGTGGTGCTGCAAAGTGATCTTCACCATAAAAAATTTGAAGAGCACTGTGCTAGGTGATGTACAATCCTACCAGAAGAGTTTACATTCTAAATAGGTGACTCAAACATGGAGCTGGATGGGAAGCTTGCCTGAAGTCCTACAGGAGACCAGAGCTGAAACTATAAAGTAGATCCTCTGTCTGTCAGTTCAGTGGCCTCAGTTTCAGCAACTTGAATCAAAGGGAGCAATGTTATTTAGCTTTCAGTAGCAACAGCAGCAGTTACTTTCTGTCCTCCTTTTTCAGGTGTCCATTTCCTAGATGTAGCAACTATTACATTATACTTATTTTGACCCAATATATCAAGCTGACAAGGAACAAGATTCATTTGTAAGGCTAAATTCCCCATTGCAGTGTTTAGGAGAATACTGATAAATAGAGATAGGTATAGACACACAGGGATCCTTTTAGTTTTTTACCTTAAAGTGAGAGCATTAATTCATAGTTTGTAAAAGGGACTTTAGTTCTTCAAGTGCATACTGATATCCAAAAATTTTTTTGTTAGTATAGGCTTTTTTCATACAAGGTACAGATGCACTGTACATGGGGACATTCAGCTCGATAACAGAGATATATTTTCCCATGCATAGCTTAATTTGCATCTGCTATCAAGCAGTATGGTGTGAAAGACCTGGTATATTCCTCTGACACATCTGGTATGTATGGACAGAATTAATTAACATTGGTTTTCCTATAAATGACATGCAATTCCATGACAGCAAAAAGTATTTGTGCCTGATGTCAATCATTCACTGTCTGCCAGTTCAAAAGGCTTCCCTGAAGGAATATGCATTGATCTGCACATACCCAAAATACAGCAAAAACATTGCTATATCCTGGAGATTAAAGTGAAAGTATGTGTGTTTAACACCAAGGGGAAATATTGGAATACAAATGATGCAGTTGCTAAGGTTTACTTTCTTGAGGACACTTAGGAAAAATGCTGACCAGCAATTAGGTTGAATCACAGTAGAAACACATTGGTTGAGACTGTGAACCCTAAATGATAAAACTAGGAAAAGACTGTAAAAGCAGATCCTAGCTTCCCCCTCCTCTCCACCCCCTCATTCTGGTTCAGCTACCTTGCTACTATTGCTTTGAATGAGCAAAGATTGGAAAAATACTAATAACTCACTTCCTTATTTCCCTCCACTCTTTAGTGCACCTGCTTTGATCACATGGTCTACAGTATGCTTCAGCCGATAGCTGTGAACACAGAAGTGAGGAGTTTAATCAAGTTTATTAGACATGCTATAAACTAAACAAGAGGGGCAAGTGGGGAGATAGCTACGTAACTTAAAGAAGCTGGTGTGCACTTCCAGTTTGAGTAAGAAATTGCTTGTGTAAAGTGGGTGTAAAATGCTATTTGCTTTATATCCAGTAAATACAAGCATATAAGGTTTAGCATGACAGAGAAATAGGTTGTGAAGGTTCTTGTTTTACTGGCTGTTAAGATTGAGAGTATTTATTAGCATAGGCAACTCAAAATATTCAGAAATTGATTTGGTTGAGCACAGGTACTTACACGAAGCCAAACTATTCTGACTGTTGTAGTATTACAGAGTTGGAAATATCATGGAAATGGATTGTTTTTTGAACCATGTTTAACTTCTTAATGTGAGTCCAAGGTATGATGTGAATTGGAAGGATAAGAAGGTGACTGATAATCTGGGTTTAGATGCTTGATGTTGGGGTGGGGGGCAGATGTAAATGATGTAGGAGTTCCCCTCACCACCAGGTGTGCAAAATATATCTCTATCTCTAGATCTAGAGATATAGATATACCTATATATAGATATTAGGGCTGTGCAACGCTTCAGGTGCTGGTTTGATTCAGAGGAGATTCAGTGGCCGAATCTCTGAATCCAAATCAAATTGGGAGACCAGTAAAAAGATCTAAATCAATCTGAAGTTCTCTGAATTGATTTGGAAAAGATTTGGAGGGCTTTGGAGATTCAGACAGTCCCTACTTGCTGCTGCATGGAGCCGGACCTGGACTCCATGCTGGTAAGTAGGAGGTGGGGCGGGGCTGGAGGAGGGGGGAGGGAACCATGGGGGAACCCCTGCCAGTCCCCATCCCCTGCCTGCTCCCCCAGCCCTCCTGAGCACTCCCCAACCCCTACCCGCTGTCCCAGCCATGTCAATGGCTGCCTACCCAGCCCCAACATCCCAGGGCTTTAAAGAAAAAGAAAAAAAAATCCTGAACTCACTGGCTGTTGCCAAGTGCGGGGGAGGTGATCCCCACTGCCACCCACTGTCCCATGCTGCATGGCAGGCTCTGCCATGAGCTCCCATCCCCTGCCCGCTCTCCCTGCCCCATCAATGGCTGCCCTGCCTGGCCCCAGCTCCTGGTTCTTTAAAAAAAAGAAAAAGCCCCGCACTCACCAGCCGGTGCAGTGGCCCTCAGGGCTCTTGGGGTCTCGTGGCAAAGCCCCTCCATGCAGCACAGGGCAGTGGGGGGCAGCAGGGACCACCCTCTGACTGGCAGGAACCAGTGAGTGTGGGGCTTTAAAAAAATTTTTTTTAAGAGCTGACAGGGCCAAGTGGGGCAGCCATGGGGGGGGGCTGGGAGAGTGGATGGGGGATGGGAGCTCATGGCAGAGCCCCCCACGCAGCATGGAGCAGTGGGGAGCAGCAAGGATCCCCTCCCCCCCTGGCCTGGCAGGATCTGGTGAGTGTGGGGCTTTTTTTTTTTTTTTTTT